TTGGTAAAATGAGTGTTATTTTAAACTTAATTCTGAGTTTTTGGAAGTTTATGTTAAAACATTTATATTCCTCAATTATAAGTAATGAGAAGCAGTTGGATTTCAGTGTCAGCAGTATAAAGTAAACTGAAGTGATTGGATATGACTGGTGTGTAATTGACATTTTTCTTTCATTATGTCTTGTATAACTCACGTAAACATTCTAAGCAAATTTATTATTTTGGTCTTTATTTAGGAATTTTTAACCATTCTTTTTACTTCCCTTATTTTGTCCGTTTCAGTGATAATTGAGCTATTTATTATCTCAGAATTGTTTTTTATTAAATTATGAAAAGTAATTCATAAAAAAACGTTGTAACACAATGCACAAATGATTAAAGATTTAACAAAACTTAAAAAATGACTTGTTTCAACAGAAAAATGTAAAAGTAGAGAAAACATGCTCTCCATCCCTTGAGAATGATAAGCTTGGCCTTCCAAAACTAGTTGTTTGTTTTCTTTTAATGTCTGTTTTATTTTGTTTATTTGTTAATCATTTGTGCATTATCATTTGCTGATAAGTTATTACTGCTTTTTTATGAATTTTTGCAAAGCTTCTCTTTCTTTAAAGTAATTATTTTTAGTGAGTACTTAACTACAATTCAATACTTGTAAATAAACTGAGAAAAATTGTTACTGAAACTTTTTCCCTTGATTAATATTGTTACCATTAACATATAATTAAATAGATTTCTACGAAAGGTGTCTTTTGATATAAATTGTTCAAATTAAAAGTGATTCCTAAATAGCCGTTGTTTCACCATTGTTCAGTTAATAGTAATTAACTGTTCCAAACAAATGTCGGGGAGCACTTAACTATAATGTAAAATTATTTTTAAGTGAACTGTGTGTTCTGATTGTTTCTGTGTTTCTGCCCAGAAACCATAATTACTGTATTAAATTTCTATCACACACATATATATAAAATATGGTCAAATCATATAAAGCTTGGAAGAAACTAATATCAGCAGATTATGCTTAAAAACAACTTATAGGCCAAACATATAAAACAAAGTAAGAATCCAGAAAGGGGTTAAACTGAGAAAAATCATATTAATTAATATGAAATCCATGTAAATACCAGTTCTCTACAAAAGTCCAAGTTCAACTACTGACAAATAATACAACTTTAAGATGACACATTCATTATTACAGTTGTAAGGTCATAGTATCACAAAAACTTCTTATTGCAAGTACTCATCAATCCTATAGGTCAGTGGTTCCCAACCTTTTCACCACCAAGGACCCCTTTATTATTATTTTTTTATGGAACCCATGTTTTTGAAAGATTCCATATACCTAACAAACTGTTTTTATTAACTAATTATTAACTCGTTTTCCTATTTTTCACTATCAAATAAAAGACATATATAACTGAGTGTGCAATTAACGAAACAGCAGTATTAAAAACTTGTTTAATGATATGGTATTACCTTTGCAGACCCCAGGTTGGCAATCACTGCTCTAGATTGTCCATTACTAGAAAGTATTAGAAGGATAACCCTATAGCTAAGTTGTTAAAGCATTTGCCTAGTGTGCGAGAGGTGCTGTATTTGATCCTAGGCTCGGGAAATACAAAAAACTTAGATTACTGTAGGAAAACTGGTGCCCAACTTGGAATATTTGTTATCAATTGTAATTGTAGAGTCTTAATTTCTGGTAGAAGTTATTACATAATTAGTGAAGAATGCGATAGTTTGACTTAAAAGAAAAGTGCATTACTTAACCCTTATTTCAGTTTGTAGAGCATTTGCCTGGTGTGTGTGAGGCCTTGGGTTTGAGTTTTAGCCAAGTAATAATAAACTGAAATTTCCAAACGTGGTTTCTAGTTATTCCACATTGACCTCTTACATTATATTCACAGAACTATATCGTTTTGCCTTATAATTCAAACATAGATTTATTGACCTTTGATCGAAGTATTTCACCCCCCCCCCCAAAGTTGCATTGCTTAGATATTTTATATGCCATGAACTTATGTAATAAGATGTTTTCTGTTGATAATCTGTATGTATACGACAAGGCTACTAAGGCTATTTTCTGTCGTCCTGAATTTTGAATTACTGACCAGAAGGAAAGCAGCACTCTACTATCCTCAACAAGTGATTGACTGCCACTCATATAATGCATCCACAACTTAAAGTGCGAGGAATTTTTTGTGGTATCTTATGGGTTAGAACATCACTCAACAGTTGCGAAATCCAGAACTCTGCCACAGGGCCAACCCATCCCTCTATTAAAAAACAGTTTAAACACAACTGTTAAAACCACAGTCAGAAGGCTGGAAAATGTTTTGTTTATTTGAAAAATTATGGGATATGTTTTGAAATTATCCCTTGTAGTTTCAGCATTTGGGGGGGGGGGGCGGTGCATTATGTAGATAAGCGTCAAATATTGAGGTGTGGTAGTATTTGAATAAGTTCTAAGTTGTTTAATCACTTCAGATGTGGCCAGGTGGTTAGGGCACTCGACTCGCAATCTGAGAATCGGGGGTTCGAATCCTCGTCCCACCAAACATGCTCGCCCTTTCAGCCGTGGGGGCGTTATAATGTGACGGTCAATTCCACTATTCGTTGGTAAAAGAGTAGCCCAAGAGTTGGCGGTGCGTGGTGATGTCCAGCTGCCTTCCCTCTAGTCTTACACTGCTAAATTAGGGACGGCTTGCGCGAAATTCACAACAAACAAACTTCAGAAGCCTTGTGCCAGTTGGTTTAAATAATTTTCATTTTACGTTTTTTTTTTCAGTAATAATATTGTAAAAATGTCAAAACCTTTCATAGAATTATAATTTACAAGAAATCCTATTAGTTTTCAAACACATTAAAATAACTTTTTATAATAATTTCATTTGCATAGGAAAAAAATATGTTTGTTCGAAACAGTGCAAGAGAAAATTTAAACGTCCGCCATCTTGTTTCTGTTGACCTCATTGCATACCTGATATTGATGTAAAAATATGTTAAGCATGTCAATGAGACACTACTTGAATAATAACGCTGATAATGACAATCTTGCCAGACCACATTTTTTCACATCTACTTTTTATGGGTGATCAAAATTTACATATTAAAAAACAAATCAATAGATTGATGAAAAAAACTTCAAACCCCAGATTCAATTCAGGCTTATCCCTAAACCTAATTTCCAAATTAAGAATTTCTTTCAACGTAAGGACAGATTGACGACACTCCTTTCCTCGTGGGTCATGCACAAATACACTTGTAATGACTTTTGTAAAGTGTTTAAATACACTGATAATCTGATGTCCAACAGATGAGCTAAAATACTCACAAAATGCAGGTTAAGTACTGTTAAGTGACGAATAAAATGAACATGGACAGCAAAGAAAAGAAAGCAAATAAAATTATGTTTCTAGTTGCGACTGCAACTGCCTACTTTGGTCAAAAACTTTCCACGCATGCCTGCACAAGACAAGTACTGGGGATTAATGCTATACCAGACTTTTAAGATAGTCAAAATGATACCATAATTCATAGATTACACAAGTCAACGACTATTACAAATGACGTTTTCAAGAGAGATAACCCACAAATTGTACAAGTATCTGTATCACCTTTGAGATTGGCTTACCTCACTCACTCCAGGGAGTGGATATACGTAAGAACAAACTTCTATGAGATAGTAGTTGTCATATGTAACACTTATGTTTAAGATCTTTGGCATCTGGTTTACAAAGATGACATAACTAAATACAAAACACCTACATGAAAAGTTATAAAAAATACCTGTATGTACCTTGACACTGACATGGTGAAATCATCAGTTATCTCAACAGTAACAATCGTTTGACCAGTTTCAAAAACAAAAAGTATATGAGTATTAAGTAGCTACCAAATATAAATGGCCTTAACCCCTGTCCCTCAGCAGTTTGATCACATGAAAAAAAAACTCAGATTACAACTAGGGATGGGTGATTATATATACATATATGTACACACACACACTTCACATATTAATTTTTTGGGAGGAAAACATATTTTTGCACCCCAGTATTTTCAGCTTTTAAATAGGATTTGGCCCATTAATAAATGACAAATTACTTTCTCAACTTTATACGACATATCGTACTGATACGACGAATGTGGCGTTTATATTATACTAATATACTTATACGAATATGTATAAGATCATTGCATTCTTTCATTATGTAGCTGATTGTAGTTCCGGTAAAATGTAGTAGTTTTCAAAGCTTTGACTGTTTTAATTTTCGTAAAACATTAAGAATGAGACTGGAAATGAGCGAGTGCTTTCCCTATTCGAATACCACCTGCCATACATGATACAATGTTCAGATTTATTAGCAAGGGTAAATTTGGTAAGGTAATTAATGAATTTATTTCAAACTTATTAAGTGTTTAGTTAAATCAGCATATGTTTTTGAGATTTTTAATCGTATGGGTGTCGGCCAGTAGTAGTATATGAATTCATAATTTACCTGTCCCCTGCTGGGACAGCGGTAAGTCTGAGGATTTATAACGCTAAAATCAGGGAATCGATTCCTCTCGGTGGACACAGCAGATAGCTCGATGTGGCATTTCTATAACATAAACACACATAATTTATCAGAATCTGATGTCCTTGGTCTGCATTCCTTGTTGTAGCGCAATGACTATCTACGAAACCGTCAAAGACGTAATGTTGCAGTTTAATTTGGAGATCACTAGATTTAAAATATTTTGTGTAAATTGTGCCTCGATATACTAAGATGAGCAAACTAGAATCATTATTCTTCTGAAAGAAGATGAACAACGCGTGATCAGAACACTTTTTATGCATCGTTGAAATCTCTCTGTACAAGACACCGTCCCCCTCTGTGCCACTAATGCACAATTTTCTGCAACTGGTCTGAGATTTGATAAACTCACTGAATTTCTTAAAAGCGCTACCCATTACTAAAGGAGATGGCTCAAGCACACGTCCTCAGACTCATGACCAGCTAGATTTACTGCCAAATGCCAAGAATGAAGAAGAAGTTAAAGGTCTTCCAGAAACTCTGAATGTCATTAAACAAGATTCAAATTATCCCAAATCACGTGAAAACGGCCTGTTGAGTCACTTCGATGAATTTCAGACTTTCTGATGTTTATGAAACTGGCATATATCATTGGCCTGGAATTGCTTTGAGTTTGGGCAGATTTACATTCATTTTTTCTGTTTTTTATCTATAATCTTTCCAAGTCTGAGTGAATGTATCATCCTGTCGCACTAGCTCATTTCAGCTAATGCAGTGTCTCACCAGCTGAAGACCTTTGCTATATATGGCATCATTCCACTACGAAGTGCCTTGCTCAAATGATTCCATATGGTGAAAGTATTCAGCTGGTGAAACATTGCTTTGGCTGAAATGAGCTATTGCGACAGGATGATACATTCACACTTTATATATACAGTATAAATGTATTTACCTTACTGTTCACTTTAAATTAAAATTAATGTTTTGATCAGAGCAAATTTTGTAGTAAGGGCTCAGAACTGAGCTCCATAAATAATTGAAATATAATTCAATACTACTAAAACTTGAGCAATAAACAAACATAAGTGACGGCATATAATATACAAAATACTGATTGTAATGTTTAAAATAAACATAAAGTAATGACAAACATATTTTGTTGTTGTTAAATGGCTAAGCAAATATTCATGAAAGAATTAGCTATAAGAACATGTTAATGAAAAATTACAAAATAATGGTTTAAATGAAATGACTTAAATTGCTGTTGTAAAAGTGGCATAGTTGCAAAATATGTTTTTCAATGAAACATCCAATTTTTGACTAATTTTTTTATTTTTATTTTAGTCGTGGGCCCGAGGCAATTGCACACATTTGTTAACCCCTGGCTTTGACTGCATACTCTAATACTCCCCCACTGTCAAATACTTTATTTTACTTCTTTGATTTGCTAACCTAAGCTGTATTGATGACCCTTAGTTAAGCAGAGGTGTAAGTGACAGCAGAGAGGGCGGCGAAACAAAGAATGTATTATTTTCAATCTTTCCTTTGGTGAAAATAAAAGAAGTCTGTAATGTCAACTTCGTGATTTGTATGTGTTTATCCCATTTTATTTCTCATTTCTGCTGAATGTTTTTAAGTTTCACGTTATAAAATATAATTCGGATTTTACTTCGTTTGTCCTAATATGTCGCAATACATTATTTTTTTTCAAATTTCGCTGATGGTGAACTTAGTATATTCCGAACTGTTCGACTCATGCAAATAAAATGCTTTTTTAAAGTTTTAATCTGTGGCGTAGTGCTAAGTTTTATGGTGCCGGAGCTCTGCCAAAATTTGTCAGACGTATGACGTCACCGTAATGGTATAGATTTCAAAGGCTAATTTCATTTTTTAAGTCTATTTTAAATAAAGAAAATAACCTCAGTACTATTTATTTGAGTCTTCTTACATTAAAGCCAAATTGAATACACATATAGAAGCGACAGAAAACACGCAACTCGTGTTTGCCTTTATTAGTAGATTTCGTTTTTCTTCTTACAAATCTATCTCCCAGACATTGTTTAGTTTTTTGTTAAAGGGGTCGCTAAGAGCAACCGGTGTCTTTAATACGATCTACCACAAAGAGTTGTTATCTTAGGCCTCACCTGGATACAGTAATAGTACTACTTCTAATAATTACAATCCTTCTAATATGAGAGAAAGTCATTAAAATGGCAGTTGGTGCTTTTCCAATTGCAAAATTGGGTCTTTTGGCATTGCGGCAAATAGCAAAACCGTTAGCAAGTCGAATCAAATCCAGAGCAAAGCGAAGCTATTTTTTCCGTACCTATATATGTATGCCACCCGCACAATGTAAGTGATGATTTCATTACAAGAGTAACTTTTGGGCTTAGGCCTTCGAGAATATTGTTTTGCTAGACATTCAGAAAAGGCAGTTTTAAAAATGGTTGATAAATGTTATGCTTCTCGCGATTTTCAGTACACAGGAAGTATAAGTTAATAATTTATTTTCATATTTATACAGATTTACTTCTAACTTTGTAAAGTAGCACTAGTAGTAGTAATTAATAATACTAATGGTGATGAACTATAATTTTAATGTAATTTATTAGAGTGGTAAAGAACTTATTACCAATAATATTAGTAATTAAAAAATTAACCATGCATGCCAAGTTCAGGTTTTGCTTATAAAATAAAGTAATCAAATTATCTATGCTATTAAGTCGGACAACATCAATAAATATTCACTTATACCAGAAAAATATGTAACCAACCAATCAATTTTGAGCTTGTATTTTTCCATTCCAGTATTTAAACTTCAACTATTAAGTTAAGAGTGAATGTACAGTATAACTATAAGTGGTAAAACATACTAGTTTGCACCAAAACTTTTATTAAAAATTGAAAAGTTAAGGATTGTTGATTTATTGTACAAGTATTTCAAGAATTAGACTGAACATTTTCTTGTTATTTGTATCATTTGGAAATTTCATTATTATGCCTAAAACTTGAAACTGAAAGGTAAATTAGAAATTATTTAATAGTAAAAAACCTTTTGGCCCATTAAGAACGTTTTGACTCCAAACCACTCTAAACAAGCAGAAAATTAATCACTAAATTTAGTTCTGGTCTTACAAATATTCATTTAACCATTTATTTGAACTCCTGAAAGTTTTCAATCTCTATCACTTCAAATGGCAGATTCTTACACAGGTTTATCACTCAATTGTAGAAATAAAACTGCCTCAGTTGAAAATGTATGTGAGTTGTGACCTTTCCAAATGTTAAATTTTTTTATTACTGCCTTGAGAATTTAGAATGAAAAGAACCGAAGCATCAGTTGTATCAATTCCCTTAGTAATTTTGAAAGTTCATTTAAATCATTTCTTCTCTTGTCTTTCAAGATAACAATTTGAGAGATCTTGACTTATCTTCATAAGACAACATACCTATCTCCAGAATGATATTAGTAGTCCTCTTCTGAGTTATTTTTAACAACTCATTGTCTTTACTAAAATAATGGTCCAAAATTACACATAATACTTCATATTAGGTCTAAATAATGATTAATACAAGACCATGACTTCCTTAGATTTGTAGCTTTATCACCTGCAAAATGATACTGTCTCAAACGTTTAAGATTTGTTATAAACAATGCTCCAAGATTTTTTCCTCATCCAATCAGCCATTTTTGAGTATGTTTAATTTTCCATCCCATTGTTCAAACTTCAAGTTAAAGTGGATACACAGTAAATAGTAAAATATACAAGGTTTGTGTTTTGCAATAAATAAGACTGGATTTTACATCATTCTTACTAATGTATCTTAATATACCATGTTTTTTAGATATTTTGCTGATGATGGAGTAAGTGTATTCTGTGATATTTGACTTGTATAAGATAAATGCTAAACAAAGGTAACTTATTTTTGGAATAATCAGAATAATATAATATATTGGACAACAAATTAATAAGTGATTAACAAATTACTGGCAAACTAGAATTAAAAGTGAAATTCATTGTTTATTTAATTCAGAAATAATCCACATACACAACCATACACTTATGATTAAATGCTTTCTGCCATGTGTTTTCCTAATTAACTAACTGATACATGTCTCTCTGTACAAATCGTAGTATCTTTGTTATAAACAACCATATTTAAACAAACTTAACCAATTTCACAACAATGTTTCCGTGAATGTAAACAGGAATATTAACTCTCCCAGCACAAATTCCCTCAACTATATCATATGTAACATCAGTCCAGGTAGACTGAATTCCATTAATAACCACTTTTTACTTTCACCCACCCTACCAACCTTTAATCCATGTAACCAACTTTTCTTGTACTTGAACTGAGGTAATTTTTTTCCCAATAATTTGATGTTGCAGATTATCAAAAGCTTCCTGCACCCTCATCCAAATGAAAAATTAGTAAGGTAGTATTTTTTCATACTAAAGTATATATATATTTATATATATATATATACTAATATCAGGAGGGACTTTAACAAAATTCTTAAATTTATAAAATCTCAAAGTGAGCAGTAAATTTTTTATAAAGAAAAAAAGTGCATTTATCACTGGAATTGTGGCTCTTTGTTTTAAAAAAGTAAGTATGAAATATTCAAATATCCAAGTCTTAATTAAAACATTTTTATCAAACAAGTCCTGGTATTCATGAAATCACAACTACAATGACAAGTGCTAAACATAGATAGCTTATTTTTGGAATAATTGGAGAAACCTTACTATTGAACAACAAAATAAGTGATCAACAAATTATTGGCAAACTAGTAATGATAGTGAAATTTATTGTTTGTTTAATGCAAAAAATCATACACTTAGACTTGACTCACAAATTCAAATCCCTACGAGGTTTCCATCTGGGCTGGTCACCCAAGTGTAAAAATTCTTGGCTTAAAAAAATACTGGCTGACCCCAAACTAGTTGGAATTAAGGGCGTTATGGCAAAAACGAAGAAAAAATCATATGTTTAGCTGTAATATGAAATTTTATTGCAGTTTCCTTCCTGATACATCACACCTAGCTTGGAAGAGTTTACAGCAATATTATGGGTGTCAAAAATTAGTTTTTATCAGGATATTTACCCTGTATGATTTTGTGGAGATTTTTTTTCCCCTATTCATTTCATCGAGACATGTCTAAAAAAACATTTGCAGTTAACTTGTTTTTATAACAGTTTTTAGGGCAATTGGTCTTCCAATATTTCACCAGTTGTTGGCATTTAAACAGTAAGTTGTATCTTAGATCAAGTATGTCTGGTTGGTAGATGTGAAATCTGTCCCTAAAACTACTCCCATATGTGTTCAATGGGACTGAAGTCCAAATAAAATGATGGTCAGTGCATTCTCACAATAGTTACCACTCAAGGTAGCCTTTGACAGTGTGTGCATAATGGGAATGATCAATCTTGTTCTTCAAAATGAAATAAAATCCAATGGTGCCACCAAAAAACCTAAAAATGGTTGCTAAGATATTATCCTTATAAATCATAGCACTTAGAGCAAATTTCTAAAGATAAACAGATCAGTACATCCATCAGAGCAGATGCCTCCCTGTAATATTAAAGAGGCATTTATGAATCTGCCCGGTTATGTTTCCATGATGTTGATTTAGTGTGTTTATTGATCATTCATAAATGTGTTTAATCAGCTTTATGTATACATACATACATATACTGGTCATAAGGTTCCACTTTCTTTTTATATTCATTCTGCAATTCATTGTAAATATATTAGGTAAGTTCAGACATGTATAGTTTAGACTAACAGAAGTGTTAACACAATCCAGTAGAGGCTTGAATTGCACAAAATGATATCACAATATTATATTGTGTATACATATGTATTTATTTATTTACATACATTCCTTCTCTCCTTTTTTTTTATTTTAGTGTATCATTGGATGGAAGTAAATGTGAAGATGAGGATGTTAAATCTTGGAAAGCCTTCAGAAGTGCCAAAACTAAATGAAAACATGGCCATTGATCTTGGAGCTGAATTACTGGGGGAAGCAATTATTTTTTTCATTGCTGCAGCATCTATTACTGCAGAGTACATCAGGTCTTCATTAAAGGAAAAAGATAAAGCTGTTGCAAAAGAAGAACAATTTATGAATTTAGAAAATGAAATAAATGACCTTAAATTTACTGTTGATAAACAAGAAGTGGAAATCAGACACTTAACTCGTACATACTACGCCCTGCAACAGAAGCAGTCAGAAGACAAGCAACTTGAAAACAAATCTTTTAGTTGTACATCAGAAAACATTGTAGGATCAGATGAAAGTAGGGGAATACTTCAACATGCAATAGATCATGCTATTGAATCTATAAAAGGAAAAATATAGTCTTTTTCTAGCATTAGTAAAACTTCAAGTTATTTTAAGGGTCTGTTAATAGGTAGATTCATGTTTCAAGTAAAGCTGTAATGCAAATCAGGTATGCAGCACATGTAATCTGATCTTTTGTAGCTTTAACATGACCATGACACTGAAAATGAAATACTTAATTAAATTTATTGTTTGATTAATTGTTTTGAATAAGTAAATGATGTAATGATTTGAAGCTGTATGATATTAAAGTTTTCATCGAATGAGAGAACTGTATATTGTTTATTGTAAGTAACATAAATTGAAAAAATTAGTTTAACTGCTTTCAACACTTAAAGTGTACTTTTTTTGTGTGCAACATTTTGGACATAGGCCCACTTTTGAGTAGTAGAACATAAAATGTTAAGCTAATACAATAGTATTTGCAAATGAACATTTTCTGTCTGAATTAGGCCAATGAATGAAATGTTGCACAACAAAAAATATATTCTTAAGGTTGTCAAAAGCACTGAAATTGGTTATCTTTGTTTCTTATTATTTACAAAGACTACCAGTATTACAAGAGAACTATCATCTTTAAATTGAATTATAGTATTTGTGTGTTAATTTTAATTAGTTAATTATATTAGAAGAAATTTTGGTGAAAATGCCATCTTTTGTGTAAGCACACATCTTAATGTTTGATGTGTGAATGTGTGCTTTTTTTTCCATCTTTAAGATACATGTAGCTGTATTTGAGATCAGTTTTTATGCCAAAGAATTTTTCTTCATCAGTATTTGCCCATTTCAGTTTATGAAAAATATTTATCACTAAATCTTTTCTTTGAGATTTGACTTAAATTTATTGTTCATGAAACAACAAAACGTAGCCATTTATCAATCAAAAAGACAGTTTTTAATATTCATAAGCACAAACAAATATTAGTGTACAAAATACATCGTCATTGTATAATAATGTAATGAATGCTAGCATTTTATATGTACGTTTTGTGTACTAATTTCCAATAAAAATTAAACTGTTATTTTTGAAACCATTAAGTTAAGCTATTACAGTTTTTTATTTCAGATGTCATTCATTTTCCATTTCTCTGAAAGATGTAAAGACAACCTGTTGGCAATTAATGTCTGATAACAAAGCTTGGCATTAAGGAAAGGAAATGTATGATGTAGGTGATTGCTCAGGGAGTCAAATTTTGGGTGGCTTCAGTGTGAGCAGGGGCACAGCCTTAACTTCTGCTAGTGGCACCAGTTAATCTATCACCGGCCCCGTGATAACCTAGCCAGATATGTAGAATTTAATGAAGTATAAGTTTTAAAGCTATAAACAGGTAACAGACAAGCACCAAAAACATTTTACTTAATTTCCCAGGATATTTTTTTCATTACCATAAATACTTCAAATTTTGTACAAATACCTTGTACGTGTTCTGTAATTAACATAAGTAAGTAACCCTCTTGTTATACAAATGGTTATGCAACATGTTATTGACTTAGAAAAAGAGGAATAATACTTATGCTGCTGTTTAATTTTATATTACATGAAATTTAATGACAAAATTTGGATATGTGACAATGTAATTATTATTCAAGTATTATTTAAAATTATAAGAAAAAATGTTAATAGTGCATGAATGAAAAAAGATTTATTGTGAAGTTTATATTACAATAAAATTAAAGAAACAAACTCATCAATTTTAGTAACATAGACTTTTTTGTCTCTATGGTATATAATTTATTTTGGTCCGTACGTGAAATTCATTTAATATCTGTTACCATGAAAGGCATTTCAGTTTTTTTATCCATACTGGTACTTTATTGTTATTATTTTTTCTTTTAATTAAATTGTTTCATAAATGGCTATTCAAATTCTTCATATTATAGGAATTCAATGCCCAAAAATAGATCTTATTGTATGATTTATCATTATACACATGTAATTATTTTCATATAGTGAAATAATTAAATGGAATACTTTATATGTTGATAGCCAATCAACCAAAAAGTATTTAGTACATCATAATGTTGAAGTCAGATATAAAAAAATAGGCAAAACCTAAGTAAATATCAATGGAGATAAGATGCATGTAATTTATATATATATATATATTTCCAATTGCTGTCTATGTAGTTGTTGTTTTAGCTCAAACTATACAATGGGCTATCTGTACTCTATAATGTAGGAAACTGATGCCCATATTTAAGCACTGTAAGTCTGTTAACTTACTGTGGGGGAACCCAACTGTTGGAGAGCTCAGCATGGCCCAATAGTTAGTGTGCTGGACTGTGTATCCAAAGATTCATGTCATGTTGATACAAAATGTATTCTACACTTTAGGGCTGTGGATGCATTATAAGAGTCATGGTAAAACCTTACTATTTAATTACAGTAGTTCAGTGGTTTATGTTGACTAGCTATCCATCTTCTAGTCACTCACTTCAAAATTAGGGTCAGCTATCATAGTCTTGGATTACAAAAGTTAGTAAAATATTTACCAATGTGTCAACAAAATCTATCTTCTTGCTATATTCTCGCATATACTGATAAACTTAAGGTAAGAGTAGTATGATAATAGAAGGAAGAATGTCAGAAAATGTGATGTAAGAGTTAAAACTTAATTTCCTAACCTTACTGAGTGAAAGGTAAGAGAACGAATGTGACTTAAAACATATTGAAAAATTTTAACTGATAATCATATACTTATACATTTACATATAAGCATATACTGATAATCTTAAGGTAAGAGTAGTATGATAATAGAAGGAAGAATGTCAGAAAATGTGATGTAAGAGTTAAAACTTAATTTCCTAACTTTACTGAGTGAAAGGTAAGAGACCGAATGTGACTTAAAACATACTGAAAAATTTTAACACAATTTAAAACAAAATAAGAAATAATGTTTTGTTTACAACACAAATAAGAGCTGACAAGAATGCAAGACTGGATAGCACTACTCTTAAACTGTTAAGAGATTTTATCAGAATGAATTAAGGATAAAACAGAGTTAACTATTATATAGAAACCACAACAGGGTTACTTCTTCCAGAGTTGCACTAGTCACTCACATCACATGGTCATTTCATAAGATAAACTAGGTAGAACTCGTTCTTTATATAATTCTAAACTGTACGCAGTTGATCTTACTAGAGAACTTGAATATAATAAATCAAATATTTCTCCAGTAACAACTTCTGTGAGAGAGTTCAACAACACTGAAAGGGAATGACCTGTGGCAATGTATAACTGAGACACTAAGTTAGTTATTTTCCAGAATTGTTATACATGTTAACCTCATCATGATTAATGTGCACACTTCAGGTACCCACAGATTTCAAAATGCAAGTAAAAAATATAATTATTGTGTTATGTACCATTTATTTAGTGTATTTCACAAAGAAAAATTTTTAAATGTTCTAATTTTCATTTCTTTGCAGGTCTAAGGATTCTAACCTGTGAACAATGCACTTGTTGATAAAAAAAATTCTAATCCATGCCTAGTATAGGATTACATTTTTTAAGGAACTATCATCCTTTGGAAAGGTATTGATTATTGTAGTGTTTTTCTTGTCCTTTTCCCTCTATGTCAGTGGTTTTATTACTATGTTCATGCATTACCATTCTTTATGATGCCACAGTGTGTGGTATGAACAATTATTTAATGCTCAGCCTTGAAAATAGCTACAGTCATTGGCTAAAATTGATTGGATAGTATAAATTCTACTTTATGTACATCAGTATAGTGTAAGTAAAGTGGTTTTAGTAATTTGGAGTTTGTCCAAATACCAGCTATCTGCTGTACCTGTAAAGGGCAAAGAAAGGATCCTCATCCAAAGTTTACAACACTTTGAAACAGATTACAGACCTGGGAATAATCTTGTAGTTTTTTCTTGTGTTAATTTCATTCATGATAATGATTTTAATCACTAGAAACTAATTATTTATTAAAATTCGATGACGAGGATGTCTGATGATGACAAAACCTTGTCGAAACGTTATACATTTGCTGTTATGTTAAACTTATATTAAAGTTTTTCTTCATTACCCATTCAAGCCGTATCCAGCCATTATTATAATTTATTAATTTTTATCCTATGTTTCTTCTGCTAATCTGCTGCCATCTTAGGGGAAGTTCTGAGAAGGGCTATTTCTGTGGTGGTAGTGGCCAGGATTCAGTTCTGGGTTTTCATTGTAGAGAGGCTGGTGTGGATAAAAAGTAGATAGTAATAAAAAAAGTGGAAATTAATTAGTAATTTGACTTAGGTGATCCTAAAAGCTACTAACCAAGACAGTGATTGGTATCCTACCACTACAATTTTACTGTGAGTAACTATATGAATGATCTATGATAAGACATCAAATAAATTTTAGTTAAATTTAGCAAGTATGGTATAGTGATGGCAAATTAGTTTTACTGTAAATATTTTTAAGTAATTGCAGTCACACAACATATACAAATAAATGAACATAGTACTTATTCAAAATAAATGATATTTATTAGATATAAATTGAACTCAACCAATAATACTGCTTGAAAAAATCACAGTAATAACTGACAAAGATAATGATGACACCACTTTGAAAGGTAATGTCATTGGTCACTGATAAGATTTTGTCAGTTTTGCTGTAACATGATAAATAAAATATGTTATATTTAAAATGTCGAAAATATGTACTAATCCTTTTATTCAGGTAAAGATTGAATACATCATGGCTAGAAACGCATATTAATTTGAACTTGTGTCTGACCCCTGGGAATTGTTATAACGCGTCTCAGAAACTTGTACACATTTTTATGCGTTAAGGTTTATTTTACTTCCCCTATAAATATTATTTGGAATTTTCAGTGACGTATGCAGCGTTGGAATCTAGTATACCGCAATTCAACATTTTGTCTGCGTTTGGAATGGTAGACCACAATTCCCTTTGTTCTTCCTTTGGGAATATATTGGAAAATACCTCTCCCCATTCCCACAAGTTGTGAAAAACAGCAGGCTAGTTTGGTAAATTCACAAACCATAGCGTAAATAATTATTGATTATTTGTGTTTGATTTTAATTTATTTCTGTGTTTATTTTAGTTTCTGCATAATATTTCTGGAATCTGCGTTTTGGAAATACTTTCAAATTTACCAGCTGGTTATCAGCGGACATACGTAAGTTTACGAATTTAGATCGCAAAAATACAGAGTTTGGTTCCCGGCTGTGGACAGAGTGCAGATTGCTCATTATGTACCTTCTCGCTAAAACACACACACACACACACACACATACAGTGTAGTATCACACATCGAAAAAGATTCCATTCACAGTAAGGTAACAGTATTCCTAATAAAACTTAGTGATCCATTTTGACAATGAAAAGTTAAGCGCAAACTTTACTTGAACCATCGGCAAATGATCACTAATATTTTTTGTCCCGATAACTTTTACAAATTAATGTGTACTTTGGTTTAGGTTCAGTTAACATGGAAAAGTTAATACTAATAATAATACAAAAAAAAAACAATAAAAAAAAACAGATAACAATATTAAAATTGTATAGAAACCGAATTGGCGGTTTTGCTAATCGCAAGTATTTTAAATATCTGTTTCCTAAAAAATAAAAACAAGAAGTAACTTAGAATTCCAGATCCATATATTATGCCATATTAAACATAATTCGAATAGAAGTTTTTTTTATTCATCAGTTTTATATGCGAGCCCTAAAGAGTGGAATGCGAACACTTTATTCTCTGCCTTTAACAAAAGACAAAATAATGGCCATAGTATACATATTAGTACTGTCTCAGCACTCTTTATGCATAATAGTGTTCGATATCTTTATATTTAAACATAATGACAAATACAGAAAATTAAAATTTCGAAACTTCTACTACGGTCAGATATATTGTGAAAACGGGCTGCTACGCAAATGTAAGTTTTAAATAATTTTTTGTAAACTTTTGTTGTGATATATTCTGAAATTAGTTATTTTGTAATACACATAGACATAACGATTATTTTTTTAAACCTCGTTTATATATATATATATCCGTTTTACTTGTAAATAATGGCGATCTAAATTCATATGTGATAGATGGCGCTAAAATTACTTTAGTATAAACGTAATTAAGAATGACATCTACATTTAGTATTGGAGTTTTTAATTGCTTTTTGAAAACTTATATTATGTAAAAAACAAAAACGGTTTTGTTGTACTTGTTACCCGCTATTAATTTACTAGATTAAGTACTTTACATTGTATTACCTTAAGAAATACTTTGTCTTGTGAAGTTATTGATGCTAATACAACTTGCAAATCTTAAGAAATAGTAATTGTAAAGTAATACTACTAATACCATAGTACTAGTAGTATTACAGATTAGAGTATAAAGTAGTACCGCCGTCGTATATGACACTCTTCCTATGTTAATCTCTTAAAAGTGAAAAACCACATTCACACAGTTTTATTTTTACGGAATATTACATTTACATTAGTTATCTCAGCTTGTCTTCTACTTTCTCGTACTAGTGTTGCAATGAATGAGTATGTAGATGCCCGATGTAAATGAGACATTGGTCAATGATTATTTCAAACTTTGCACTAGTTGTTTGATTCAGTGATTATTATTTATTTGCTAGCTCTGCACATCCTTTTCTTGTGTGTATCACTTTCTGTCCCGTGTTTTGACAATCCGAAATTCTAAATATAATTGTAAAAACAAAACGAAAGCTGATGGAATCTGTAACAAAAGTCAGGGTTGTCATTCAGCAATGTTTAAAAGCTAAACTAGAAGTGAAGCCTTCTGACAAAGATAGAAATGGGAGTGAATATGTGGAGGTATGAGTAGAGCATTCTAAACTTAAACCACAGATTGTTGTTAAATATTTGTGTTAAAAATTGCATCAAAAAATTATCACTGACATCAGTGGGTAATAAACAACATAGGCTAATTGAAAATTGGAATATAAAAGCTATTAACATAGAGACATTCAAATTCTCCATGGATGTCACTTGAGGTTCTGTTTAACTTTGTAACTAAAACATTTTAGCATGAATATATAACCATTGTGTTTGAATATCTCAGAATTATGTTTTTGATATTTGTGAGCATTTACATTTTAAACTAAGCTTAATGTAGTATATGTTTTTTTTATTTTGAAAAATTAAAAGTTTCATTTTTGAATAACCATATTTTGAGCTTTCTAAGTAAAAAGAAACAAGTGAAATAAACTATGTATTCTTATTGCTTGTGAATTTAGTATGAGATTATTTAGATACGTTATACAGATGTAACTGGTCTATGGTGATTTGATATATACATATATGAAGTAGAAGTTAGACACTAATTTCTCTTTTTTACTTTATTATAAATGCTAAGACAATAACTTTTTTGTTTAACAGTGAAGTAGTTGTGACTAAAGTTTACGTTATTTTAAGCATAAACAAAAGGTTTTTTATATATCAGATGTTTGTGGAAAACAAACTTAGGAGATTTGTTTTTAAAGTTTTTAGTTATATTTGGAAAATTACATATTTTGCTTTGTTAGTAATACGTACTAATGTTTTTCTGCTTACAGAGTACTCATTATGTATGTAATTTGTAGAAAATTAATGGCCTGGTGGTATACCTTATAACAAAAGCTTTAGCTTTTCAGTACTGAGTATATTTTTGGTAAATAAAAGTTTTATAATTATCTTTATTGGAAATTAAAATTCTGGTTTTAAATTTAGGCAATATTAGAATAATAATTATGATGAAGAGCATTTATAAAAATATTTTTCAGTGTATGGTGTAATTGTTTTTGAATAAATATACAGACCAATATTCTCTATGTAAAAACTTAGGATAGCATAGGTGTTAAGGTATACTTTTTTTTCTTTCTTCCTTCTAAGATTGGGCAGGGAATGGTGATTTTCATTTGTTTCAAGCAGAATGCATCTGAAGATATCTTGGACAAGATTGGTGTGATATTCTTTTTGTACTTGTCTTTTTTTTAAGTATTAATTTCAGAATTATTATTTCTTCTTTTCATTCGTGACAGCTTAACATAGAGAGTATACCAATATACTGTGTCCAAGGAACAATGTAGTAAATATATAGAAAAGTGGGCTTGTTTACAGTAAATGTCATTTTCTGCACTGTTGTAAAAATATTTTTGGGGTTCATATCCACAACCTGGACTTGAGGTTAGTTACAAGTCTTAACAACTAGTAAAGCAAAGTTACCAGTAACATTATTACTCATTAGACTATAAAATAGTACTACAGTTCCTCTGCTACTTTAATTTCAGTCTCTCGTAAGTGAAAAACCATATTCACACACAATTTTTATTCTTATATGAAATTATACAGAAATATATTGATATTCTGGTGTTACTAAAGCATGCAGTCTGCAAAGATATTTACACCATAGCATGTGGTCTACATAGATACTATCATAATCATCATCATCACCATTTTAAAGATTCACTAAAACATAATTTCTTACTAAATAATTTATACGTATCCATGTTTTTGTTCAGCAAATAATAACTTAATAAGTTGTGTGTTCCAAAAGAGTACCTTAAATTTAGGTTATAGTTGTGCTAGTTTTGATTGTTGGAACTTATTTCATTCCGATTATATTTGTCTCAAAAACGTTATGTAATGTTATTTTGTACTTTATTAGTTTAAAAGCATTATTTATAATAAATGCCACCAATTGCAAATAAACGAAAGTTAAAATGGGGATGATGATAGTATCTCTGTAGACCACACGTTATAGTAGCACCAATATTCTTCCTACTTTTGTATTATGTTGTTAATTTAAAAAAAAGTAATAATATTCTGAAGGATAGTTATTTGAAGATATTTGTTTCTCCAAAAAGAAAACTATGTTTTGAAATATAATATTTAAAGTAACAGTTACAATTTGTCCTAAACTTACAAAACAAAGGTTGATTTTTGCAAGATTTATGTATATTTAAATTAATGGTGTTTTTAATTTATACATGTATATTTCTTTTTCAGTAAAAAGTGTCTTGGGAGTCAAGTTGTGTGAATCAAAATCAGGAAAACTTGTTTCAATTTTAGAGCTTCCTGGTGATATGTTAATTATACCACAAGCCTGCCTTGGTGGAAAGATGAAAGGGAAAGCAGTCCAATATCATGGTCTTATTGAGAAAGATAATGGAGTCAAGCTTTATCATTCTTTTGTTGAACTGTGCCAGCATATGGTTTCAAACAATCCAAAATCCATTGAAATGGGAACAGTTGTGAAAAATGGTATATATGGAAACAGACAGGTCCTATGTATGGACACCAATGGACCTTTTACTCATGTGTTTGATTTTTAATGAAAAACGAGTTAAGTGCTTTATTAAATAAATTGATATTTCCAACAAAATTTCATTTTACATTGCGAGTTTGTGTGCATGGAATCATATATACAGGTGTGAACAATGTCTTGTGTCTCTTAGTTTGTTTTAAATACAAGTTATTTGTGCATTGTAATGCTGTGATGTGAAAAAAACAACTTAAGTAACACTTTATAAGAATAGACAATGAAAATAATCATAATGTCTATTATAAATTAGGTTCTCTTTATTCGTTAAAGGACATTTCTGTTTAACATTGTTTGAGCAAAAACTATTGAAAAGTTTTGTTTTAACCTATGATTACCATTAACTATTAGGCCTAGATAGGTGCATCTTGCATTGAATTTAGAAAATTAACTTGTAGTTACTTAAAAATTGCCACTTTAGAGTTGAAAGTTAATAAAAAAAATGTTGTTTATACATAATTCTTTTATTTCAGCATGCTCTGAACAAAGACATTTGTGTTTGTGAATTTCCCAACTGTTTTCTAAGCGTAACATGGCAGGTACTCTTAGTTCCCAAGGAGGAAATAATAACAGTTTAGAACAAAATAATGCTAATTTGACCTTTTAACATTAGTACATGTGTAATTTTTATTGATTTTTAGTCAATTGTTGTTTCCAAACCACCATTGTTATGGTGTGATTAATTGCATACATTTCAGGTTTTATAAGTCATATACATATAAAAATATAATGAAAGTTATTTTTCTGTTTTTTCAATTGTACAAGCCAATATGGCTTCCAGTTCAGCAAATTGGAACAAAGTGATAATAGCTTAGCTTAGTAATATTTTGGTAGAAATATATTTATGAACAACTTCCACCACAATTACAGTCCTGATTTTTTAAAAGCTTGCTTTATCATTTTATACTTTATTTCATTTATAATATTACAGTATGATAGGAAAAGAGGTAAGCTTAGTTATGTCATTTCAATGAAAAGGATACACATATTGGACTACTATTCCTGTCAAGATAGCGAAACCATCTACGGCTTACTTTCTGGTGATGCTGCTAATCCTTGACAGTCTCTCCAATGACTTTCCCCCATGCCAAATTGCAGCATTCATTAAGCACCACAAACCTGGGGAGTCTTTCGATGCTACCAAGACAACAATTCTACGCCGAGGTGGCATCTTTCTGCAGCCGTCAACCGATTCTAACCTCCTTCACACCCCATGGAACTCGATCCCACATGTTACATGCACCTTCCTCCCAAGTAATAGCAGCTTATTCACAGTCTTCATTAGAGGTGTTTACCCCTCTATCACCACTGACGACATCCGCCTCTCTGCTGAAACTAAATACAGAACTATGCTCCATGATGTCCACTGAATCTACAACAAAACCACAGGCTTACCTATACACTTTGTTAGACTTGTTACCACCTCAAAAAACATTGCTGAAGCTATCCCACAGAACAGTGTTTTGTATCTCATCCTTCGCTTCAAAGCTGAAGCACCATGTCATAACCAACCTATACCTCGCTCCCATCAGCCAATATTGACCCTTGGAACCAACACTCAGACCTGCATACCAACACCAAGTCATCCGCCCACTACAACAAGCCAGAGAACTGTAACACCAAAGCTAGTCTCAACCTCGGATCAGTGCATCCAACTGAAGCCATACCAAACCAGTGATTCATCATCCCTAACCTATGCCTGTACCTTCACCATGCAATCCACTCAGACAGAACCCTTCTGAAGGAAAAAAGCCACTCAAACCCTCGAGTCCACCCCGCATCAATATCTATCACAAACATCATTCCAACGATTTATACTCCAGGATGGACTTTACAAAACATTAACTCATCAGTCATTCAATTTTCAAATCAGTAGAGCATCATAGGGCACTAGCTGGCATTATTGGTGCCAGCTAGTGAAAGTGTATTTTCTCGGGGCTGTCCCATTTCCTCCTACGTCTAATCTTAGGCATTGGATCTACAGATCCCCCACCACCCTGATGGACCATAAGTCCCATATTGGCTATTTTTTTGTGTGCTCTTATTAAGTGTGTGCTCATATTATTAGGTCTTGTTCTAGCCTTCCTCAGTTTTCTCTCGCTGCCTTTCGCTTGCTGCTTGCCAAATCAACCTCCATGGTAAATACTATTTTTTTTCCCCATCACTGGTTTTCTATCAAAATTATGACACCCATAAAATTTTCAATCATGAGCAGGGTGAAGAGAAAAGACTTTCTGAACACCCCTGGTTAATGTATGGCCCTAAGTCTCCCTGACTTGGGTTATACAATTTCAAACCGAAATTACTGCCATGCTTTTTGTTTGTTTGTTTTGTTCAATGAAAAGGCTGCTGTATTAGTCCTTAATTACTTTCGGCTTTATTGGTCTAAGTAACTACTTAAATTGGCAAAGAAAATCACCAAAAAGAGACAGGTAAAAAAAATATATATATATATATATATAAATGAATATAAAGTAGGGTTTAAAACTCATTACACATATGAAATGGAACCTTCTTATTAATAATTTAAGAAAAAAGACAACTAGCATATAATTTTGGTAAACACACAAAAAAGTATTGCATGCCAATAACTGCATACAATGTTTTTCAATACAACTTACAGTTTTATAAAATAATACAGGAAGACAAAAATCTGTAATTTTAATCTACAGCAAATGTAAGCACTTTTTCTTCTTAAAATGTATATAACAATAAATATTTTTGAAATTTCAAAGTTGTTTATCAATATAAACTACATGATATGTAGAAAGTTATAAAGAAGTTTCTAACAATTTTATTCAGTAAGTTTTTAAAATGTGATAAAACAGGTGTGTAGATTTGATGCATCCTGGTCTCATAGTTAATACAACTATATATCACATTACATGAGCTTTATTTATGCAAATCATACACAAGCATCAAGTTTGGAATTAAATTATATCTTGTCACCATTAAAGTCAACCTAGGCTCGGCTCTTGTCAGTTGTTCACCATTAAAGATAAATAACATGTAGAAGGTAGCTGTTATTTCCAGTTTTCTCCAACATTCCTTTCACTGTCAGAAAAATAACCTTCATTGATCAGTAGTTTTGGTAATTTAGCTTTTGTATGAAGTATACTGTTTTGTTTTAGTTTATTTCAGAATTTTATGTAAGTTTTTGAAGGTGAATTTTATTTCTCATGAAGAATATCTCCAGATATAGAACAATCCTGTTGTTTTACACAGTTTATAATAAATATATATATAGTTCAGTTTAAAAAAATTACATCCAAAGAAATGACATACAAAAAATGTTGTTTTACTTGTTAATGATACTTTGTTTTATAAATATGAAATTATAAATGATTAAAGATAACATGATGACAACTAAAATTGGAATAAGTTATTTTTTTCACAAGAAAGACAAACAGAGGTAATATTGCTCCATTTATAGACACACTGTATAATAATATTTAATTTTTTAAGTAAACTATTTATATTTGTAATTCAAATATAACACTATAGATAATTGGTATCAAATACTTAAGTAGCGATATGATTAAAATAGTCTGTTAAATATTCAATAGTTTACTACAATATTAATTTACCCTTTTTACACATAATACTTAAAGTCAAGTATCATTGGTAAATTTATTTTTAAGTAAGAGAAGTTGTTTTACTTCATCATAATCAGTATTATTCAAGTAATCTAAAATTAAACAGTAGTGAAAATTTAATATTACTAATTTAAACTTTATGTGGTAGTGCAAAAAAAAATATATTACTTTATTTCAAATTTCCACATATTCACATTTTTAAAGCAAATTCTGGTATCATATGAAGCTCATGGTTAGACTAAGGTAAACTTTTCAGTCAAAAGCTTAGGTGAAGAATAATTAATTTAGAGTTTAGAGATTCTCACTTGTAAAATTATATTCTCATATCTTGAAAATTGTTAAATAAAAAAAAAAGATGATTTTTCCAATAACAGATTTTACAAAGACTTCAAAATTGCTTTAAAAAATACAAAGTATTTCTAAATTTTAATTTACAGAAGACTTGAATGGCTTGAAAAAAAAGTTTACAGCAAACATTATTTTTTACACAGTACATGTGCCAAAAATGTATAAAGCTTGAAATACCCTGAAGAGGCTTACATAATAACAATAAATAAATTGAAACTAAACATTATCAGTGAAAATTTTTATCACTGCTAGGAGCTTCAAGTGCCATGGAAAGAAACAGAGTAAAACTAACAAAAGAAGAGCAGAAACCAATGAAGTAAAATGGTAAATAAACAGTTAAGGTACAGGTTAGGGCCTTTATAGCTAGATTCAGTTATCATTCAGGTACCAACCTCCAATAGATTTGAACCTTTAGCTGTTTGCAATGAGAAAACAGATGATCAAGAGATTTACGATTCTTTGTAGCAAGTAACTTATAAAAGACTAGGACTAGAATTTGTTTGCCAAATGCCAAAGTAGGTGTCATTGGTGGAGGGCCATCACCCTCAAGTTTATAAGGTGACTCCAAATGGCATCTTCTGCGAGACATTTCTAGTCAGGTCAGTTCAATATGTATGTACAAGTTATGCCATAACATGGGGCCCCCCTGCTGAAGAACTGTGTGTGTGTGTGTGTGGGGGGGGGGGCATGTGAGGTTAGTAATTATTCTCAACCAGTGAGTTGTGAGATGTACAGTTGTGGGACAGGACAACTGTGACTGCCATAAACTAATGAGTCATGAACTGCACATGCGAGTCTTTACTGTTGTGTCAAATAACTAAAAGGCCTTGAGATGCAAACGGTTGAGAAATCCTGAGTTAGGGGATACTGCATTATGAATAGAGATTTAGATTTATTTTCCTGTTCACCTGTGTTTGTGTCTTTTTCCTTTGATGTTCATGTTCAATTTATTCTTTTCTTTAACAGTCCTCAATTGTTGTTTCTGTGTAAACCTTTGGCTACGTGTTGGATATCAATATACATGAATACTACACTAGAGATGTGCTCCACTTAAGCAGGTTAAAGAACTTCATTAAAGGTAGATTAAATTAAGTTTGCAAACTGGTTGGGGGAGTTTGGGAGTAAACAATGTGAATGAATAGCTAGGGTACAGAAGAGGAAATAAAGACTTAGGGCCTAAGTTAAATAGTTTTATATATAGTTTTAAAGATGAGCATTATTGTCATTATTATAATGTTAGAAATATTAAGAACAAAATGGATAAGTTTAGAGCTTAAGTTAAAATGAAAGATTTATTTACAGAAATTGATTACAGATCAAAAGAGGTAATTACCTCTTTATACAAATCACTAGTTGTGCCTCACTTGCAATACTGTATCTAAGAAAGGATGTTGGATTATTGAAAATGGATACGTTAAAATTTCTTATTTTCTTTTCAAGTATGAAGGAATCAAAAGAAGTAATCTTATCAAACTTTACAAGATTATTTAGAGGATCAATAAGATAAAGGCTTCTGATTTCTGAATTTTGAAGGTAATAGGATTTGATGATACAATGTTAAGACTTGAATAAAATAGGCTAGACTCCAGTTAAGACAGTTTTAGTTTTGTAATATCAAATAAGTTTATAAAAGGAATTGAAGAGTGGGTTTAATTTTTCTTTTTCTAGAGAGAGAGAGTGTGCAAGAAAAACTTTGAAGGACCAAATTTTTTTATTGCCATTATGTTTTATGTATGCTACCTTATAGTTTCTTTTTTATTCCCCTCTCTGCTATGTCACTTTTTCCAATGCTAACTTTTAAGTGGGTTGCTTGATAGAATGAGCATACTAAAACTGACCACGTCTAGATATCCATTAGTGTCCACAAAATGTAATATATACAGATTTTCTGTTTTGTTTAATTAAGAGTTCTTGGCATTCAACAGGAATATGTAATTAATATTAATTTAGAAAAACAAGATCAAAATTAAAATATTTCAGAGAGAGATATAATGTCTTCATCTATTAAAATTTATATTTTTTACAATTGTATAAATAATTACAATTTAAAATAATGTAATAATGTCAGTTTACACTGTTTTTTCCTTTTCATTGTACACTTTTAATTTGTATAAGATAAGAACTTGTCATACTACATTTTTTAAGTTTACAGATGAACATGAGTATATGCTTTAAAACCTTTTTGAAAAAACTATTTTGCTAGGTTTACCTAGCATCACCAGCTGAAAGCTGCTCTGAAAAAAATGTACAACAGTTCAAACTGTCCCATGTTATAATATCAGTAATGATAATACATCAACAACTGTTACGGTGTGAATGCCTTTTACAAGCTGGTAAAGCATGATTATAAGTGTACTCGCCACAAGACATTAGTATTAGGACTTTCATATTTTTTAACACTACATTATTTATCTAGTCCCTTTAGTTTTTTCAAGATTTAGAATAGTGTGTAATAATAGTATTCCAAACACACTATTATTCACTGTATCCATTGCCAACATGTTTTACTCAATACAGAGCTCTTTCGGCTGGCTGGGATACAACAAACACAGCAGCCATCAGTAATTTTTCTACAATGATTTCAACATATGAGAAATCAATGGAGTGATTGTTTAATCATGTTCATATATAGACTTTACTTAATTAGCTTGATTCAAGTTCTTCTATCATTTACTATGAATTATCACAAATTTGCTATTTTCTGGTCTGTAAAAAGTAATTAATACCAGTATATAAATTTGAATAATTCAAAGATAAGTACAAAAGATAGACAATTAGCCATACATTCCAGTTTAATGGATGCACTTTATAAGCATTCTAGATTTACTTTTTATCAAACACAAAAAGTAATATTTCAAATCTGTGCAAGTTTCTGTACCAGATATTTTAATTCACTTAAGATCTAAAAAAAAGGGAAAAACTAATAAACTACATTTTTAAATCTAGCATAAAACACTTTAAGAATAACTTAAAAAAGTTCTTGAACACGTACAACTATGACCTATCCTGTTTTTTAATTCTATCTCAATTAAATGCACAATAAAATAGCACACTTAAGTGATTATTTTCTAATATGTGATCTTTAATAACAAAAAATAATAAGACAGAAATTTTTTATTACAATACACTTGTACATGATACAAAGAAATTACTTCAATGGCACAAAAGTTTCTCATTTACATACCACTGTTCGTTTATATAATCAACAAAAAACATTTCAGTGAAATGTATGATCATTACAAGTTCTACCATTTTTAAATGAAGTAAAAATTATGAAGATTTTCCTAATGTGTCTTGGATTGAACTGTACATATCTTTGGGAAAAAAATTCCATACATTTCTTTAAAAGAAAATTAAATGATAAAGAACGAAACTATACAAGTTGTAACTACAAATTTTTAAGTCTTGAACTAGTTAAAACATTGCATACTGTTTAGTGCCTTTAAATGGTGCTCATAACCCAGAAAATAATTTTTTTCTAGCAACTAATTTGCTTACTTTTAATACAACATAGAAATAAGAAGAGGAACACATTATATATTATTTATAGTTACTACCATGGCTAATGAAAATTAACCTCAGAAAAACATTTGTTTTAAATACAAATATGACTAACTTGCATGATAATCTGGTGCTCTTTTGAAAACTTTCTAAGTAGGATGATGTTAAAGGCTTAATTTAATATTGTTTCGAACTATATACCTTTTTTTTTACTTGTAAGAAAATAGTAAAAAAATCATCCTTAATTATTGCAGTTAGTAATATGTTAAAACCATTGATAAAATAAATTGGTAGTAAGATATTTGCACAGTTGCTGCTTGTCATTTGAATCTCTGCAATATAGTAGGATATACAGACTGGAGAAAAAAACAGAACTAAAAATTATAATGACAATACATTTTAATAGTTTGTAGCTTAAGAAGTTAAAAATAAACGAAAATTCAGTTGTAAATGTGTAAAGGTTTTTAGTTTAATTTTGATTTGTTTATGTTGAAGTATTAAATGTTTTGGTATTATTAATAGTATATTTAGGGTGATTAGAAAAATTGGATAAGAATTAAAAATAAGTTTAGTTAATTGCTATTGTTTTCATCTTATGATTATCACAAAAAAATTAATGAGTTCAGGGCTAAAGTTGAAATGGAATACTATGATATAATGGGAATTACTGAAATTGGTTAGTTTTAGAGAATATTAATAACGGGAGTTAGTTTAAATTCCAGATTATAAGTTATTTAATAGTGATTGAATTTTGAAATGACGAGAGAAAGGTGGCTCCTTATATAAGAGATGAACTGTATCCTGTTGAGAATGAAAACAATAAATGATAGTCAGAGGTTGAATCTATATGGGTTACTTAGAATTACAGGTCTTATGGATAGAAAGTTTTTAACTTGCAGTTTTTATAGACCACCTGATCAGACAGGCAATGTCAATTAGAAATTGTATAATAAGATCAGGGCTGTTAATGGTAAGATTATTGGTACAGTAGTTATTGGTTACTTACATGTTAGACATATTTATTGGTATTATACAGAGTCAAATGGTGATGGTTAGAGGTTTCTTGAAGTGATTCAGGACATTCTGTATGAAATGGTTAGGGCCAATCAGAAGAGATGCAATTTTAAATTTATTGTTTAACATTAATGAGGATGTGATTGTAACAGTTGAAGTAGGGGAACATTTTGGAAGAAGTGATTATTGCATAATTAGGTTTGATGGTTTGCTATGTATTGAGATGAAATGTTAGTTCCTAATTTTCAGAAAGCTGATGCAGAGGCCATGAGACAAGAATTATTATCAGTGAATTGGGATAATGAGTTAAAATGTTATGCACATGGACAGATTTGGGAAATTTGTAAAAATGAATTGCTTTCAGTTTAAGACAGATATCTTACAAAAAGATGACAGGAAAGATCAAACCTAATTGGCATACTAATGACATATAGGAGAAAATCAGGAAAAATTTCATAGTTTAAACTAATAGATAAGATGAAAGATTAACAGAACAATAAAAAAGCTAGGGATTTGACTGAAGGATAAAGCAGAAAGACCAACAGGGTTTATGAGAAACAGCTGGCTGATGATTTTAAAATTAACAGTAAGGATTTTTTTTAAGGTTTTTGAGCATAAACATGATGTTAAAATGAGTTTGAGCCCTAATACAATATTGATGGTAAGGTTTTATTTTGAAGACTAGAGATGGCTGAGTTTTGATATGTTCTCTTCTGTTTTTACAAGAGAAGATGCTAGTAATATTCCTGAACCTGAGCATTTTATGGAAAACATTGGAACTGACCTGAATCATGTATATGTAGACATTAATACATTGTTGGTAAAAAAAATAATCAAAGACTGAGAAAATAAAAACAGATGATGATCTAGGACCAAACAATGTTTTCCCAGAGTTTTAAAGGAGGTCAAAGATAAGATATTCAAGCCTTTTGAGTTTTTTAGTAGATCAGTAAACAGTGGGTTGTTACTAGATGATTGAAGAATTGTTAATGTTATTTCTATTTTTAAAAGATGGATGATAAGTGTCCCTGGAAATTATAGACCAGTTAGTGTTAATTTTCTATTGAAAAAATAAGCTTTGCAAGATCATCTAGTAAAATATATAAAAGAAAACACACACAGACTTACCTCCTTTAAAACTCTAGGAAACCATTGGTAGGTATTGGTGCTTTATCTATTTTTTGTTTATATTTGAACATTTTGCTTATGTTAAAAATACCTTTAAAAATATTCATGTTGTTAGTTTTGAAATCATCAGCCACCTGTTTTTTTTTATCAGCCCCACTGGATTTCCTAATTTACTCTTCAGCCAAATCCCTAGATTTTTCTATAGTTCTGTAAATCTTTCATCTTATTTGTCAGTTTAAACTTACAACATTGGTCCCTGATTTTCTCCTTTATTTCTTTAACATGGCAACCAGATTTATCTTCCCTGTTATAATTTTCTTCTTTTTTGGAACTAGCTTATTTTGAATCGATAGCAACTGAATTATAAATTTTCTAAATTTCTCCCAGTACTACAGCTGGGCAGTTAGTGAAATGTCCAAGTAAAAAGTGTTATTCTTACGAGATTTGTAAAAAACAACAACTTATGGATTTTGATACCTACAGTAGCTTTGTGTTTAACAACAAACATAATGAAATATTTGATTTACTTGTAATAACCAGAAACATTAATTTTGATTAGTTGATTATTTTTGTGACTCATGACATTAATCAATTAAGCTGAACAAACTTGAATTAATCGAATATAACAATAATAAATCATAATGGCAGTATTTCAATTACTGGATAGTTGGAATTATCAAAAACAGTAATAACTGGAAACACTAATTCAAATTAGTTGATTATTTTCATAATATTGATTAATTTAGTACTAATTTCAATTAATTGATCATTTTATGTGCCACTAACTGATGTTCATAAATAATAGATTAATTGCCCAGTGCCTAATCTTTTAACTTATTATCTCAATTCACTAAACAAATCTTGTCTCATGGACTCAGAAATGGCCTTCTGAATTTCATTTCTTTTTATCTCAACATGTAACCAAATATCAAACATAATTATATAATGATCACTCTTTTTTAAGTGTTATCCTAATCAACTCTTCCGATCACAACCTAGGTTAACAAACAGTGATCAATAAAACTATTTAGATTTTTCCCCTAAAGGGCTATCCTATTATTAATAGGAAAAATACCAGAAATCTACAAACACTAATACTTTCATTTAGAGCATGATAAAGTCAATCCAAAATAAAAATTGATATTTAAAATATTTTTTTATATGTATGTATAAAATTATATAAAACATTTTATTAAACGGGTTTGAACTCTGAATTTTTTTTTCATATGTGGAAGAAGAAGTATAACTTTATTTTCTATCATTTTTTATGGTACAATTTTGCCCTTGGGGAATGCTTGATTAAAACAAGACACAAAGGGTTAGAAACCTGTTTTCCCCATTTCTATTTGACTTCACATAATCCACATCCATATGTCAAAATTTAAAGTCTCTCATAATTATTACATCAGTATTATTTGTAGCAACCCCGATCTCATTGACCCAATTTGTCTGATCAGGTGGCCTATAACAATTGCTAATTAAAAACTTTTTACCTTGATTGTAACCCATATAGGTTCACCCTCTTGACTACATTTTTTATATCTCCAATGCTTAGAGGTTGGAGTTAATTCCTCATATAAATAGCTATTCCACCCCTATGTTAAAAAATTTATCACTATTAAATAACTTACAAGTTAGAATTTTAAAATAACTCCAATTATCAGTATTCTCCAAATCTAACCAAGTTTCAGCAATTTCCATTATATCATTGTTTTCCATTTCCAAGGTCATCTGTTTTGTTCCTATTTCATTAAAATAACAACTAAGCCTATTCTTACTACATTCATTTTTAAATGTAATACTGATTTTTAACACAATTATTTAACTCCTGTTCACCCAAGAGCAATTGTTATTCTGACTATCAAATTTCTATCTTGATTCCTTAATTTTTTCTCTTTGTCTGCTATTTCCTCCCATCTCTAATAGACCAGTCTTCCTCAATTTGATCTCTAATTTACCCTTAAGTAAGCAAACTCTGAAAGTGTAGCATAATGTTTTTTCCAAGCCCATAATTCTCAAATGTAATCCACTTCTGGTACCTATAACACCCTATAATTGCCACCTTGGTTACCCACTGATCAATCTCTTAATTTCCTTCTCTTATTCTTTATTTCCATTCTACCAATTTAATAATTCCATACTTATGTAATATGAAGCTAGTTTACATTTTATAGATTAATATAACATTGAAATACCCTTCTAACTAATACTGATTTCATTCCTTACACCACTTTTCTAATATACTAAATTCTCAGCAGTCTAGCTGATTTATAAAGGCATTCTCATCATTACAAGTTTTTGTTTTCTGACACTGCATACTCCTAGTTTGACCAGTATATTACATTTGCTACATTATTTGTGGGGTTAATTTGTAGTTCTTGCTTGCTTTGAACAAAAGTTATTCACAACAGCAGTATGTAATACTGTATCACTAGTTTGTGTGAAAAAATGCGTAGTATTTAAAATTTTTGCAGTGAACCAGTGCTACTGCTTATGCAATGAGCCATTGCTCTAATGATCTTGGTTACTGTAATTTGTAAAGTGCAAGTAATCATGGTGTATATTTTGTAATCTAATGTAAGTTAATATGCTTTCTTACAACTTAAGTAATGTTAACTTTCAAATATCATTATACTGTATAAATTAATTTAGAAAAAATTTGTAATATGGTGGAATATTTTTCACTTTTTTTTTAAAATAAGCGGCTCTAAGATAAATACGTAGACTAGAGCGACCTCTTAACAATCAGCTGACGTATATCCGCCCTAGCGGAAGAAAGAGAATAAAAAAAGAGAAGCCATGTTTATAATATTATATTGATTTCGACAGTTAACAATTTATGCATTTCCCAAATACCTGAACTTTGTGATTTATAGTATAATAAGCTTATTTCCTTTATTTGATCTAAATATAACTGGAAAAATCGCACTCTAGAATACATAAGGATAAAAAAACAGAAAACAACCCCAGATTTTTCACTTACTTTTCTCGATTGTCTGACGATGTTGCTACGTGATACGCTTGACGACCTATTTACACCTATAAAAAAGGTCATGTGTGCTGATGGGAATGCCGGGAAATTTTTATGTCACGTGACTTTTCACCAATCACAGCGTTGTATCTTCCATGACAAGTTGTTGTTTAGCTGTAACCAGATTGTAAGATATATGTAAGCTAAGGATAGGGAAACATGTCATACATGTTATTCTATTATATTTAGAAATACCAGTGCTTAACGTTTATGCAAGGAAATTATTTTTTATTTCCACTTTTGGGTGTTATAGGAAGGTATTGTAGAAATGGTGAGTAAAAGCTTCAGAAAACGACACATTTAAGTTTTAATTCAGGTTACTGTACATAATATGTACTTTTTAGTAGTACAAGAACTAAGTATAAGGCTAGTTATTTGTCATAATATAAATGCTTTGACCTGGACGTTTCATCACTACGCTAGTTCTGTGGACAAGTAGATTTTCCTTATGAAAAATAACATAAATCTCTACCGAATGTTAAGAATAAATGTGATCTTTTAGTTATAAAACTTAAAGCAACACAGCTGAGAAAAAAGTAGGTCTAACGGTAGCCTAACCTGGAATATGTAATACAAAGTAATAGTCTTAGTAATCTAGGTTGAGGCTGAGTGTGTTGGCTTACATTAAATTCATGGATTATTTGTCATAAGCCTCAACATCTTACACAGTCAAAACTCAACATCTAATTTAATCACATTAACTTGGCTCATGTAAAATAATCTAAAGTTGCCTTTTTAAAAGCCTCATATCATTAAAAATTATTTTGTTTTTTATTATAATTTAGCTTATTCTTAGTCAAATCTAATATATTTTTTCTTTTATTTATATCATGTAGTTACAATAAGTTAGAAATGGAAATGCTTTTGTCACATTTTTTACATACCTATTCCAACAGTGACACAAGAATTGATAAAAACTAAACCAAAACCAATGTTTTGGGCTAGTATTAGGTGATACATTGTAACTTGTATTCAGTTAAAAAGATTCTAAACTTTTATTTGGACAAAAACTTGAATAATTAAAAACAGTTTCAAAAATAGTGTCTTGTCAGTTTTCACATTTCTTCATCTGGTACAATTTCACAATTTTCAATGTGTTCTGCTATTTTAGTAACCAAATGCTAATAAATATTTCATTTGATTCATAAGTATATTGAGTTTTTGTTGTTTTATTATTATTATTATTACTGTTGTTAACCACAGCACAGGTATTTACATAAAGTGTTAACATTTATCAATAAAGTTAAACAACGTGTATGAGTAAGCATTGTGGTAAAATAATTAGAACATAAGAATGAGCAAGGTGATAGTTTTTCATTAACTGAAGGAGATTACTCATTTTATTCTTCAAGTATGCAACCAATATTATGTACACTTGCTGTATTTAAAACATGTTTTTCAACTGCAGAGTAGTGGAAGTTTTAAACTGAGAAATTTAAAAAGTATGTTGGCAGTATGTAACATTTCATGTCAGCTCAGGTTTCATTTTTGAATATTATAACAAATTATCTTGATTATTGTTATTTAGGAAAACTGACTTGCAGAAATTAGAAGATATTATGTTAGAGAGAGCTAATCTAAATGGAAAACTTTTATTTAAAGTTTGGATTTTGTGTTTATGTGAACTAGCTGAATTAAAAGAAAAATTACTCCTAAAATTGTGCATTGCAATAAATAAAATGTAAGTGGATGAATATTAAAATTTCCTTACTAAAAATAAAAAAATTCCAAGGTTGCAAGAACATAAAATTACTTAAAGGATAGAGAATGTCAAATAAAAGGAGTTAAAGTTATTTATTATACATGTTATTATAGATTATAGAAGCCTTTGAGTTTAGAATAAAGATAGAATGACTTCAGCTTTTTAGACCTAGTTTAACTGCATAAAGAAAACTCTTAAGTTACTTATGAGGGAATGTATTTTAGATAAAAAATCATGGCTGAAGTTAAAAATGTTTTTTTTTCTAGCGATTCTATTAATGAAAGTTTGGAGAATATTTCCTATAAATTGTTTTTTTGTTTAAGATATTTTAGGAAAGCTTGATAAACTTGTGGAATGGAACTTGTGAGCCTTAAAATATAGTAGAGTTTGTGGGCACTTTAATTTTTATTTATTTAAACATCTTTTAACACTGGAAAATTCCTGATGACTAAGAGATTTATTAATGTAATATGTATTTTTAAAAGTGGTTTAAGAATGATTCAGAAAGTTATTGGTTTGTTAATTTGGTTTGTGTTTAAAAGATATTGCTTTCTCATGTCTGAAGTTATTTAGAATAGCATTTTTTCAGTTAAAGTTTTATTGTTTTAATACTTTGCTGGAGTTCCTTGATATAGCTTTCACTTTTTTGGGTGTAGGAAACCTACTGTTTGTCTAAGTTCAAAAACTTGATTAAAGTATCACTAAAATATTATTTACCGAGTTGGTTTATTATGGAAATGTTAGCAAAGATACATAAGTGTCTTACTGGGGAAAAGCAAACATTGATAATAAATTAGCAGTTACCTGTAAAGTTAAGAGTTAAGTGTGGTTTTAGGTGTTTTTTTTTTAGGTCTCTTATTCACTATTTCAGTGATTTGGGTAACTAAGAAAAAATACTTTGTTTACTGAAAAGAAACTTCACAGTTTTAGTGAGTGGGCCAAGACCTAAAAAATTAGTTTTAATATTGTGAAGTATAAAGTTTTGCACTTTTATTGTGATAGTTTGGAAAGAGCTTCTCTCTTACACAATGAGACTATTGATAAAGTTTAAGAGAAAGCTTGATGTTATGGAAAGGAAAAATGTTTAGATATGAATATTGATAAAACTCTGAAAAGAACTACAGTGAAAGCTCTGGGTTCTGCTTATAGGACTTTTGAAATTAAGGGCAAGAAGTTTATTGTAAGCTCACATAATGTTGGTGAGACTTCATTTGAAATACCATGTGCTATTTTGGTTCCCTTCCTGAGGGAAAGATATTAACATGTTAGAAAGAGTGTGTAATAGTCTATTAGAATGATATCTTAGTTAAGAAGTTTAAGCTACAAGGAAAGGCTCAGAGTTTTGAACCTGTTTTCTGTAAAACATAAGAAATTATAGTTGATTTGACTTAAGTGCAAAATTTTGAAAAGGTTTCATAGGATCTTCATTAGAGTGATTTTGTTTTAAGTGGTGAATGAAAAGGGTGGATGTACAAACTTGGGTGCTACTATAGCACGCGGTCTACAAAGATATTTGCAGTCTATATAGATACTATCATCATCACCATTTTAACTTTTGTTTATTGGCACCATTTATTATAAATAATGCTTTTAATCTAATGAAGTACAAAATACCGTTATATAACATTTTTGGGGGCAAATATAATCAGAATGAAGTAAATTCCAACAATCCAAACTGGCACAGTTATAACCTAAAGTTAAGGTACTCTTTTGGAACCCACAACTTATTAAGTTATTACTATTTGCTGAACAAAAACATGGATAAATATAAATTATTTAGCAAGAAATTATGTTTTAGTGAATCATTAAAACTGTGATGATGATAGTATCTGTGTAGACCACATGCTGTAGTGTAAATATCTTTGTTGACCTCATGCTATAATAATAGCGCTAAAACTTGAATATGAGACAACAGATTTAACCTTAGAAAGCCTCGATGTACACTCGTTAACAGTTTTTCAGTTGAAGTTGCAAACTTTGAAAGGTTTGTCTGATGATCTGGTTAGTGCAAATTTTGTTATATGAATTGATATTCAAGATGTATAAATGTTGGTTTCAGCTTTGTTCACAGAATAATATGTTGTTGCAGATTATGAAGGTTTAGGTATTTTTGTTCTTCACAGAATGCTGATGAACCACCATATTTAACAATTGGCACTGATGTCAGTGCCAAATATAGGGGAGCCTTCTGTGAAGCTAAAGTAAAAAAGATTATGCGACAACTGAAATGTAAGGTAAGATCTTTAATTTTTTTCACCAGTATAACACAATTGTTAATGAACATGTTTTTAGCTTTCAAGAGGGGTAGCAACAAAATGGTAAAATTGTATTAACTATTAATTTTCATTAAGTGTGATTACTGTTTTGATGATATATTTAATGGTTTTATATGCAGTTTGAATTTATGCAGGGGAGAAATTCTGCTGGTACTCTGTACAGGACTCAGTTCTGCTTTTTGTCCAGTCTGCATGTCTTCCATCATACTGTCAGAAAGCAGGCATGTCATGAATCAGAATCTAAACAATCATTAAAGATTCTTCAAATGAACATTACATAATTTAATGACGTTAGTTCTTGTTGGCAACAAGATCATGCAAAATTATTTAACAGCTTCAGTGTCAGTCATTATTAAACTAATTGGGTAGTCTCATCTGTCTGATTGATTTGTATAATTGGTCAGTATAACATGTTTTATTGACTGTTGTGCTGTGATCGGTACCTACCCCTGATATTAGCTCATATAATGTCTTTTTATCATTCTGCAGAATATGAAGTAAACAAAACAGATATCTGATGTTTTTTATTTAGTTGCCCATTTTATATGTATCTGTTTCTTTAAAACCATCAAAACAATGAATATAATAAAAAAATCAACCAGTTTTTTGTGGCATACTAAATAGTATCCATAATTGTGCTCCTTGTGAGTGTTGTTATAAGAAACTTAAGTTGTATATGTGTATTGTTGAGTAAATTCTTTTATAAGTTACACATGAGTAAAATCATTTTTTGTATATACATGATTACCACACTTTTTTGTTTTGGAATTTTACCCCTGAATATAAGATATATTAGAAATTGTTATTGATATACCTGAAAATATTAAGAATATATCATTTCATTTTAAAATCAAACAAAATAGTGTATTAACAGTCTGTTTAAATGCTCTTAACATTTTTTTTTGCATTTTTAGTACAAGATGGCCTATTACGATCATTGTGTTTGTTGCAGTGACAATATTCATTATATTTTAATGGCATTTACCCTTGAACAAAATAACAAAATGCATACTCATTTCTAAGTACCAACCATGTGCATGAATTCCTGTGCTTATTTAATCAAAATTTTAAATTATTAAAAGAAATAGAATAAATAAAATTTCTCAGATTATATATAACAAGTGAATGAATTTTTTTTTGTTAATTTTACTTTGATTGTTATGTTATAATTAGGTTACTTTCAAAAACAGTCTTGGGTCTGCAGTTTTACCTGAAGACCAAGTGCGGGGAGTTCCAAAGGTGATCATACAATTTTGACGTTTTAGTATTTTTATTTATACTTTCTGTATGTTATTTAAGTTCACAAGATTAACAACATTAAGAATAAGTTTAACACTATACTTTATTAGATATTGGGAAAAAACTTTTCATTTCACATTTCTTAAACATTCTTGCGATAAAAACACCTTCAAGAAAAACATAAAAGTCACAGTGGTCATTACAAATCATCTTATATTGGTATAAGACAAAGAGTAATAAAGCTACTATAAAAAGTACAAATTGTATATTTTAAAATAATCAGTGTATTTCATGTCATTCTTAATAAACATGCTATCAATGATTGTTCATTTTCTGGAACGTTTCCTTCCTTCCTACACCCCCCCCCCCCCAAAAAAAAAGATTTAGATTGTAATTATTATCAAGAATACGTTTTTTTTTTTTTATTAAAAAAAAATATTCCTCAGGTTGGAGCTAAGGTTGAAGCCAAGCACCCAGAAAAAAAATCAATATTTGGATGCAATCATTAATAAAGTTCTTGATCAAAGTCTCTATACTGTTGGTAAGTTACTGTCAGTTCAGTTTTTAAGTTTGTATTAAAAAAAAGTATTATTGTTATGAAAAGCAAACATATTTATACATACTTCTGAATATGTGCTTAGACTGAAATATGTTTCCAATTGATTATGCTTAATTGCAGTATGTAATATAAGAATGTACAGTCAACATCACTGTAGTCTCAAGTGTCTTAATGTTTAAAACATAATGTCTGTTGATTAACCCTTTTGAGATGGGTCCTGGGTGAAAGGTCATGTCATCTTTTTTGTGACTCGCATTCAAAAATTTATTAGAACTACTATTTCATGAATTTA